GGTAGGTCCTATCTCTTTACTTTCCTTCAATTGTTTCTGTCTGTGTGGGTGTTTGGGGGACGCCACTTGTAGGTCCTACTTCTTTACTTACCCTCTGTTGTTTCAGTCTGTGTGAGTGGCTAGAGGGCGCCACTGGTAGGTCCTACTTCTTTACTTACTCTCTGTTGTTTCTGTCCGTGTGGGTTGTTAGAGGGCGCCACTGGTAGGTCCTATTTCTTTACTTTCCTTCTGGGGGGTTTTCTGTTTTTCTCACTTTTTCCCAGATCTAAATGACCATAATTGTACCGATGTGTTTCTGTTTACCAAAACAAACCCAAACTCTTCCTCGTCAATGTTGCTGGCCTGTGTGGTGTAACGGTTAGGCATTTCTCTGTTTCACACGCGAGACTTGAGTTCGATTCCCGAGCCGGAAGAAATTTTTTATCGAGTCTGTCGGTGTTTCTGCTGAGCTATTGTACCCCTCTCAGCCTGGATTGGCCGGGAGAGGCAAAGTCGGAACCCCGCCTCCTAAAGAGTCTAAATAGTGTTGATTGTTGTTGTTGTTGTTGTTGTTGTTGTTGTTGTTGTTGTTGTTGTTGTAGCAATGAGCATTTCACGGTGACTTTTAATGTAATCAGGTTGTTAAGTGTCGGCGGTTAGAGGTGTTGCACGTGCGTAACAAACACAAAAAAGAGGAAGGAGGAGAGATAAGGACGATACATGTTTGATTGGAGAGAGGAAAGAGAGATAAGGACGATAGATGTTTGATAGGAGAGAGGAAGGAGAGATAAGGACGATAGATCTTTGATAGGAAAGATGGAGGAGAGATAAGGACGAAAGATGTTTGATAGGAAAGAGGAAGGAGAGATAAGGACGAAAGATGTTTGATAGGAAAGAGGGAGCAATAAACCGCGTCAGAGCACCCACCAACCACCTACATTGATAGAGCCATTCTGTGATAGCTTTTTACTTTTAGTGAGAACCATCCTTCCTCTAACAATAGCAAGGACGACCACATCAACAGCAACAACAACAAAAACAACAATAAAAATAACAACTGCAATAACAACAACAAGACGCGGACGAAGGAAATATACATGGCAATTTCCTTGAAACGGGAAGCTCAAATTAAGTCCCGCAGCGACCAGTGACTACTGGCAAAAAATTAGGACTGGTAACTTCCTGGGCTTCGGGGCCTACAAAATTGGAATAGACAAAACATTGGACCCAATCTGTCCATTGTGCAGCGAGAAGCCCCAAGATTTGGATCACTGTCTACAGAGATGCCCCGCGACGTAGGTCCGGCGGTGGCATCTCTTTTGGGGAGGATTCAGGGAGATTGGACTGTGGCTGAAACAACTCCTGGACATGGATGGCTGGTGCCTCTATAAATAAATTATTGATGAGGTTGGACAGCCTCACCCGCTACCCTAGAGAGGCGGTGGGCCTGGCGAAGAGCACGCTCTTAGGGGCTCCAAACATTTCGACCTGATAGGCTACCACTCACACACGCACACACACAACAACAACAACAACAACAACAACAACAACAACAACAACAACAACAACAACAACTACTACTACTACTCTTCGGGGCTCCGAACATTTCGAACGGATAGGCTACCACACACACACACACAACAACAACAACAACAACAACAACAACAACAACAACAACAGACTGCAACAAAAGCAACAATAACAATGGCAGCAACAACAGCAACAACAACAACAACAACAACAACAACAACAGACAGCAACAACAACGACGACAACGACGATGACAACCACAACAACAATAATAACAAAAACAGCAAGAACAACTACGACAACAAGACCAAAAACAAACACGACAATAGCAGCAGTGATAACAAGAGCAATATCGAGCAATCATTCAAACACTACATGTACAAAGGCTATCAGTCTCCGTGTTAATCCCATATCTCAACGACTCCGGTATTTAGCACAAACGTTTATGGGCAATCAATCAATAATGTATAATCAGTGATCGAACGGACCGAACAGACAAGATGCTAATGTCGCTACTGTGGGCCATTTTGATAAGCCCTGCGATTTACCTATCTCGCTTATATATTTTTGTTCTACTTTAGTTTTGTTTTTTAGTTTTGTTTTAGATGTGTGTGGGTTTGTTTTTGTTTGTTTTTGTTGGGTGGTTGTTGTTGTTTGTTTTTTGTTTTTTTGGGGGGGACGTGTGAGAGGGGGGGGGGGCGGTATCGTTTTTTAATTTTTATTTTCTGTATTATTTTAGGGTTTTTTGCGGTTTAGACGGAGGGGAGCGCTGGCTGGTGCTATTTCCTTACTATCCCCTTATGTCTTTGTACATCTGACTTTTCCCAAGCACTAATTGACCTCTAGCGTGTTGAAATCCTTCTTTTTACTCAAAACAAACGAAGCTCTAATTTATTGGACTCACGCTGTCACTCGCTGACATTAAACATTCTCATGTGATTGTCTCAGAGAGAGAGAAAGAGAGAGAGAGAGAGAGAGAGAGAGAGAGAGAGAGAGAGAAGAGAGAGAGAGAGAGAGAGAGAGAGAGAGAGAGAGAGAGAGAGAGAGAGAAGAGTTCATGCCGAGAAGAGTTCATACCCAAGGACACATTATTTCGGTACGCTTGTGCGAGTGAGCTTTTCATGGTTGTGTGTGAAGAGAGTGCATGTCTGTGTTAAAGCGAAATCTGTGTATGTTCATCTAATGTTTTCCCGTGAATCAATAAAGTTTCTCTTCTCTTTTCTTCCTTTCTCTCTTCTCTTCCGTGGGTGATTGGCGGGTGCTCTGGTGTGGTTTGCTTCTTCTTCTTCTTTCCAATAAAAAATCTATCGGGGTTTTTTGTGTTTGTTACTCTCTTGTAACACCTCTAACCTTCGGCACTTATATGACCTTATTGTGTTGCAAGTGCCGTAAAACACTTACTAAAATTAAAACTCTTCCCTTCTCTTCTCTTCCCTTCCTTTCCCTTCCCTTCTCTTCTCTCTTCTTCCCTTCCCTCCTCTTCCCTTCCCTAATTCTCTTCCCTTCTCTTCCTTTCCCTTCCCTTCTCTTCCCTTCTCTTCCTTTCCCTTCCCTTCTCTTCCCTTCTCTTCTTTTCCCTTCCCTTCTCTTCCCTTCTCTTCCTTTCCCTTCCCTTCTCTTCTCTCCTCTTCCCTTCCCTTCCCTTCTCTACTCTCCTCTTCCCTTCCCTCGGGGGGCTCTCGTGGCCTAGAGGTTAAGGTGTTGGCCTCTCATTCAAAGATCCCGGGTTCGAATCCGGGTAGCGACCAAAAAAAATTTTCTTCGCTAAAATTGTCTACTTTCACCTCCGCTCCTGCTCTCTAGCAATGTTCTGTTGTCTGCTTTCATTTCCACTTTGTGCCCCCACCCCCTCCCCTCCTTTGCCCCCTCCTCTGGGCTCCTGACTCTTTTTTCAGCCTTTTTACTGCTACTCCTTGACCCCTCCTTACTGCTGTCTTTCTGCCACACCCCTGATCTTCTGGTAAGAAAGATCTACACCTAGCCTTCTCGGACAAGGGCGAAAAATCTCGGAGGGCCCGTGTGCAAGTTGCGCACGTTAAAGATCCCTTGGTGGTCTAAAAATCGATAAGAGTAGGCTTCGGCCGCCACCCGGGCAAAA